TTCTATAGCTTTGCCTATTCTAGACATTTCATAGGAATGTAACCATATAATGTGGTGTTTTCTGTCTGGCTTATTTCACTTAGCCTAGTGTTTTCAAGGTTTATCCACGTTGTAGCATGTACGGGTACTTACTTCCATTTCTTTTTATGGAGAAGTAATATTCCATTGTATGGACATACCACATTTGTTGATTCATTTGTCAATTGATGAACAATTGGGTTGTTTCTACCATTTTGCTACTCTGAATATTATGAGTAAACCTTTATATATAAGTTTTTGTGTGGATATATGTTTTCATTTCTCTTGTGTATATACCTACATGTGGAACTGATGAGTCATATAGTAATTTTGTGTGCAACCATTTGAGGAACTGCAGGTTGTTTTCCAAAGTAGCTGCATCATTTTACATTCCACCAGCCGTTGTATCAGGGTTTTCTACAACCTCGTCTGTCCCCTACTCTCATCATTTGGTTTTAAATAACTTCTTTGCGACCAAAAAAAAAAAATGAGATGAAAATGTAGGATTTGCATTTTGCAAAAACGCCCACTATTATTAGTATTGTAAGAAATGCTTGTGTTCTACATTATGGTCCTAATACAAATAGGAGCTGATTTCTTTCCAGCAGGTACTGTAATGATTTGGATTGCCAAAGGAAAATCCAATGCTGGGTATATAATATAGGAGAAAATAGTTCCTATGTTACCAGTGAAAGAATACACAGTCCAAAGCCTCCCCAAACCCCACCACCTTGAGCTGGAAAACTCTTACTCATTTTTTGGTCCTCTGGGTATTTTCCCCAAGTCACTGGCTTGAGTTAGGTCGCTTAGGGTGAACCTCTGGTCGTGTGTCTACTTCCTCCAACACAAAATGCTTCCGAGTTCATTTTCATTATTAGATTAATATCAGTCTTGTCCTCAATGTATAAAGCACTGGGCTTTAAAGCAAAGTGACCTTGACTGTCTTTCCCACATAATCCCAGCATCTAGCATAGGTGTGCACTCTGTAAGTTATTTGTTGAATGAAGGAACAAGGGTGGTTTTACACTAAAGCTTTCCTGCTTACTAAACTTCTCAGTGAGTGTGTATAAATTAGGCTTTACCAAAGTGTTTGCTTTGCTTAAATACAAAAAACCCAAGCTGCATTTTAGCTTTCTGACATGCTTCAAGAGCTAGCTTATTTTCCCAGCAAATTCCCCCTGAATCAGCTAGTGCTAAGGTATGTTCAGTACTTGTCTAAGAACTACCCTAATCTTCAGGAACAGAGGCCAGAGTGTAGCTGAAACAGCTCTGCTGACATTTGGGAAGTTCTGGTTCTGTCAGTCATTTTCTGTTCTTCATCATGTTTTTTTCAAAGGAAAAAGCTATTTTCCTGTGTGTGAGAACATTCTCTCCTATCTAATAATGCTCATTTGTCTTTCTGTCCCATTAGTGTGCAGGAAACCACCTGTCCAATTGAGATCAGAGCTGTAGATGTCAAAGTGTCTCATCTTATACAGATATGCAGCTGTCAGATCAGGGAATCAAAGGCTTGCCTTTAATGAAAACAAGTCATTTTTAACCAATATGACTGTAGAATTTATACAAATACAGTTATCTAGATCGAATGATTGGCACTTGTACCTCTCGAGCTCCCACCATTTCAACAATGACTTGCAACATAAGGCTCTCCGGAACTAAGGTCAGGCATGCTTTTCCCAGATTCTACACTGATTCCAATGGCCAGCACAGTGCCTGGCACAAAGAAGGTACTCAATTCACAACATTGTTTCTATAAAACAGCAACCTCCAAAATGACTTTTACTGTCTTCCTTTAATGTCACCACTTGACAGTCCTGCTACCCAGAATGGAAGCCACCCAACTCTCCCTCTTCTAATCATCCTTTAGGTCACATCTTAAATGGCACATCCTCAGATCACTCCCTGATCCCTTAGACTATTCTGACATCCCTTTTGGTAAGACTCCACACCTTTGTAAGCACTTACATAGCACTTGCCACATATCAGGCACTATTTTAAGTGATTTGTATGTGTATTCGTTTATTTAATTCTCACATCAATCCAATCAGGGTTTACCTAGTTTACAGATGAGGATTGGAGGCATTTGAGCCCAAGCCATCTGACTCAGGGTTTGTGTGCCTAACCAGCTTCCTTAATACCTTTATATCAAACTGTGCCCCCCCCAACACACACACATACACGCACACAAACCAACCATTAGAGAGTAGGCCCTAAGAGGACAGTGTCAGGCTTATCCTGTCCATGTTGTTCCCCAACCCCAAGCCAAGTGCTGGCACAGAGTAGGTATAGCTATGGATAGATTTTGAGTTCCAGAAATGGACAAAGGAATTTTAGGGTAAAAAGGAATCTGTCCCTGGGCCCCTGGACTGACTGGGATTTGTACTTGATCCTCTGGGTCAAAGAAATGAACCTGTGAGTAGCCCACCTCAGAGAGCCAAACTTTGCCACAGTTCATGACAAGGCCAGGTTTCTACAGCTCCGCGGCACAGGGGATTCAGAGCTGGTTGTACCTTCCTCCAAAGCAAGAAGACGCGCGAGCTCCATATCTGGGTACGAAGGCTCTGGTGTCTGCTCTGCCATTGACCATTGAGTAGGATCCAGGAATGGCTTTCAAGAATGTATCAGCTTCTCATAACAAAAGAGCTGATGTCTACTCAGCCCTCCCACAGTGTTCCAGAAACCCCCGCCATGAGCTCTGATCCTCACAACAATACTTGAAGGAAACCTCCCTGTGAGAATTCAAGATTACAAAGGAACACTCCATGAGGGCAACCCTGTGTCCCCAGCACCAAGTACAGCTCAGGTGGCATAGAGTGGGTACTAAATAAATATTTGTTGAGTGAACTTCATAGATGAGGACTCTGAGGTTCGGCACATTCCAGTGACATATCCATTGCCATGCAGATGGTATGTTGTGTAGTCAGGATTTCAATGCAAGGCTCATTGGAGCAAATAACGCTTTCCCACATTCCACACTTACTCCACATAATTTCCTATTCCAAAGAAATGTCTTAGAAGTGTCAGGATCTTGAGGGTTCAGGGGTGATGACCATGATACCCAGAGACCATAACGTGGCTCTTAAAAGTTGCACTTATGTGACTGGGGCCAGCTGTGGATGTTGGAGAACCTCAGAAGTTCTTCTGTCTGAAAGCAGATTGGGGCCATGGAAATGTGGAAACCATATTCTGAGGAGCTGGTGACTCCCCCCCTCCACGGTTCCTCGGGCCTCCCTTTTCCCTTCATTGTCACAGTTCAAAAATAAATAAATAAATAAATAATAAATAGTCAGAAAGGCTCTTTTTGCATCCTCTCTTTTTCCTGAACATTCATGTCAGCAGGTTCTCTTCTTTTCCTGAACATCTGTTTACCACTGATGTCCCCTACTAAATGCACTGCTTTCAGGGCTGACTTTCAGGCAGGATTAAAATACAGACAGTCCTGTACAAGCATTAACTTGTGGCCGTGCGCGGCATTTTTAAAGACCCAGAGAACTGCTAAAGTATTAAATGACATATCTCTTACAAATGACTGCACTCATTTCACTCTATAAAAAAGCTGGACTCATTATTTATGTGGACTACCTATCTCCTCATTATCAATCTTGGAGAGAAATTTCCATCTTCAGCCTTTAATGTTACATATTTTTGAGCTTCTTTTTCTGCTACTTGAAAAACAAACTAGCAATCAGTCAGTGAAAGTATTATGGATACTCTGGAAAAAGATGAACTATTCTAACTAGTTATAAAATAGGTGTTATCAGATACGAGGTGATCAATCTCCTGGCCTCCTAGGTCCTTTTCTGTCTGTCTTTGTGTCTATAAGGCTAATAATGAGCACTGAGTCCCTGCCAACACCTGATTTGGTTAGCCATGGCTCTCAATTTACAAATTTAAAAATTAGTAGCAGCTGGTAATTACAATATTGTTACAGGGATATGAAAGACAGTTTGGGGGATATAATCAATAATGTTGGGAAGATTTTGCAGGGTGTCCGATGGGCACTTGTCTTATTGGGAGACCACTTCATGAACGGTGTACATGCCTGACCACTGCACTGTACACCTGAAGCTGAATAATATTGTATGTCTCAGGATATGAATAGCATAGGGAAGAGAGTCAATGGAAGTGTAATAGATATATACGATGTCAGAGGGGCAATAGATTGGGGAAGGGGGGTTATCACTTTGTGATGGGTGAAATGTCTATTACATTGTTTTGTACACCTGAAACTAATTTAAAAAAAAATTAGTAGCAGCTAAGTTCAATAATATATACCTAAGGAAAAAACTAACCATACCGGCCATATATGTTAGTGAGTGAGACTATTGGTCACTATATGGCACAATTTGAGGTTCATACTTAAACTACCTAAGTTTTAATACTGTTAGAGTTAAATTTCTACCCTAGCTCACATGCTGTTAATCAGAGAGTTAAGACGCAGAGTGAAATCAAATGTAGAGAAGGTCACACTGAAGAGACACAGTATCCTGAAATGGAAACCGCATGGGATTTAGAATCTCAGCTCTGCCATTACTCACTGTGTGTCCTTTGCCAAATTACTCACCCTCTCTGAGCCTCATTTTTCCATCTCTAAATCAAGTTTAATGATATTCACATCACAGGGTTGTGGCAAGGGTGAAATGAAAGAATGTTAGTGAAGGCACTGATGCCTCCCATCTACCCTCCTTAAACTGGGGCTCCCCTTAACCCACCTGAGGCTTCAACTGGTGACTACATTGTGTCCACAACAGCTGCGTTCCACACTTGGCTTTCCTTGCCCTTCTCTCAGCCTCAAACATCCTACAGTTTATAGTTCCTTCCTATTCTCAATATTCTTAAGTGATCTTGTGTTTGCCAGTCAGGTCATGGGTGGGACATGAATAAACACTGCTAAAAAGTGTAAGTGTGGGGAGGGTGGGTGAAATGCTGGTTTAGGCTGTTTTTGCCAGTCATCATACTATGCACATTTTATCTTACAACAGCCTCCAACCTGCTGCACAGTTTGGGGAGCCTTGACACTCTACCTATAATGAGTCATCGATGAAGAGCCACGGCCTCAGGCTCCCAACCTAGAGCGTGCAGTCACAGGAACGTGGGATGGATGGCGCAGAGGTTAAGTGCACTTGGAACCACAGGACCATGGGCCTCACCAAGCATCCTTATGTCTCAGCACCTCATATATGACATAAGAATAGGAATCATTCTTTCTTGTTAAGTAATTAGTGTTAATATTTGTTATAGACTGGATGTTTATATCCCCTCAAAATTCTAATGTTGAAATCCTAACCCCAATGTGATGGAATTAGGAAGCGGGGTGTTTGGGAGGTGATTGGCCATAAGGGTAGAGCCCTCATAAATGGGATAAGTGCCCTTATAAAAGAGACCCTTCCACCATATGAAGACACAGCGAGAAGACAACTGTCCATAAACCAGCAAACAGGTCCTCACCAGACACCCAGTTTGCTAGCACCTTGATCTTGGACTTCCCAGCCTCTAGAACTATGAGAAATATATGTTTGTTGTTTAAGCCACCCAGTCTATAGTATTTTTGTTATAAATACTACTAAGACAATATTAATATCAGCATTAGTATTATTTTAGCTTTTTGGTCTTGGGAAATGAACTTTTTCAGATCAGATTCTACTGGTTACAAAGAACAGAAACCACTCAAACAAG